GCTGGTGGCTCCCAGCAGCTCCATGTGGCTGCGCTGCCCTCTGGCACATTCTAGCACCGTAGAGGTCGTAAATCCCAACTTAGGAGGGGTTCATACACCAGATCCTCGATGAGGACTGTGGTTCTGCAACGGCATTAACAGGTCCTGACAACTTCTCCCATCATCTCTGTGTTTATTGATGCCACTGTCCAACATGAGATCTGACAGCACCAGGAAGGAGCCCGGCCCACTCCAGGGAGCTGGTGTCACCAGCCCAGCTTCAGTTGTGTCACCAGCCCAGCCCTTAGCATGGCTCTCTCCCAGCCACAGCCCAAGCTCAGGAGCTGCAGCCAGGACGAGCTGGGATCCCCAGGAACTGAGCTGCTACAAACTGGAGCTCAGACCAACAGCAGGGGGATGGATCGTGTCCCACCCACCCCAGCAGTAGGTGCCCAGGAGCAGGGAGGTCTTTCCTTGGAGCCAGCCTGGAGCTGCTCCTCCCCCGGGCAGGAATCCCACTGCTCCTGCCATTGAGGAGGGCGCGGTCCATGCCCCCGGCAGCGGCTCAAGGACAGCAGAGCAGTTAAACACAACAAGGTCTTGCTCTCAGTCCCTGCTGGCCCCACATCAGGCAATGTCCAGACTCACAGCACCCCATGCCCTCGGGGGCAGCAGGGCCAGCCCCGGTGGGAGGATTGAGCGCTGGGAATGAGTGTTTGGGGGAGCCTTGTGGAGCGGTCCTACCAGAAAAAGGGTCTTTTACTGCAACTAGAATTTTATTCTATTGTATAATTCAGGAGTGCATCACAGCCCCGCGAGCCGGGCAGGCACCTATCAGTGCTTCCAATCTAGACACACGCAGAACTTCCTCATCAGCTCCATCTGTTAATTACTCACCTCCCCCCCGGCTGGAGCTCCTCCTGTCGTATCCAGCCCGGACCGGAGCAGCGCCTCCACAGAGCTCCTGGACAAAAAGTGACTGTGCCAGAATCAGCCTACAGAGCAGTTAACAAAAAAAAAACCAAACCAAACCAAACAAACAGAAAACAAACCCGAAAATAAAATCTTGCCCATCCTTAGGTTGCTTATCAAATAAAAAGTTCCTCCACATTTATTAAAAAAAACCCAAACAGTAGATTTAAAAAGCAGTTACGAGTCCTACTCTGGCAAAACACCCTGTGTACAGGTTTCTTTTGTTGGTGGTTTGTTTGCTTGTTGGTGAGGATTCCCCCTAAATCAGCTGCTTCTGTTAATTTTTTTAATATATATAATCTTTTAATTTTGCCGCGCGTTGCTTGCTTTAATTCATTAATTTATTTCCAATCAGCCGAGTCTCCACCAGACCAGCGGCGCTACCACACAAAGCTTCCTTGATGTCCATGCCCTGAGCCGGGGTGGGGGGAGATGGATGGAGGGAGGGTGGGAGAGATCAGTGGAGGAGAAGGAGGACGAGGAGGAAGGGAGGGATGGAGGGAGGGAAGGAGAGGAAGCCTCGGCAGCCCCTCACTCTCCCATGTGCGTCCTCAGGTGGTACTTGAGCGACTGCTTGTAGCGGAAGCACTTGGTGCACTCGGTGCAGGGGTAGGGCCGCTCGCCGGTGTGCGCCCGCTGGTGCTCCAGGAGGTGATGCTTCTGCGTGAAGTTCTTGCCGCACTCGGTGCAGTGGTAGGGCCGCTCGCCCGTGTGGATGCGCTGGTGCTCCAGGAGGTGGTGCTTGCGGATGAAGCCCTTCCCGCAGACGGCGCAGGCGTGCGGGCGCTCCCGCGTGTGGATGCGGTAATGGTTGGTGAGCTTGGACTTCTCGCTGAAGGTCTTCTCGCACTGGCTGCACTGGTAGGGCCGCTCGCCGGTGTGAGTCCGCTGGTGCCGCAGCAGGTGGGAGGGCCGGGTGAAGTTTTTGCCGCACTGGGGGCACAGGAAGGCCATCTCGTTCTTGCCCGCGTGGATCCTCTGGTGCATGAGCAGGCTGATCTGCAGGCGGAAGCTCCTCCGGCACTCGCCGCAGGTGAAGGGCCGCTCCCCGACATGGGTGATCTGGTGTTTGCTGAGG